GTCCTAGAACGAATAGTTGCAGACTGTATTGTTTCGACACTCGTCTAACGTGACATCGAACGAGGGCGTTAAAGCCAATTACGGCAGCAACAGGGCTTCCACTATGCCTGAAGTGCCGAGATTGTGGGAGCGAGACGATCCCTTGTACCACTCATGGGAGGCCTAAAGGACCTTTCTTATCGTGAACCGTGCCTTTAAACTTTCACAGCTATCTCTAACCTCTATCCGATCTTATCAGTTTCTCTGCGAGGATCGACAAACAACTCCTCCCTCTCCTCCCTTCACATTCATTTAGAAAACAGGAAACCTTACAAGCTGCAAAATTTGCGTTGCAGCTAGTCCAAGCAAGGAAGAGCTATGAAAGTAATGGCTAAGTGTTAAGGTGAAGTCAATCGTTGGTGACAAAGGCCTTACAACACTTCTGAACAATGCTGGTATTTGGGTGAAGTATGTCACGAAGCAGGAACCGAACAGGGCTGATTTTATGAAAAATATGGACGTGAATGCCGTCGGTGTGGCCATACTCACACAGGTATTCTCCTAGTATTTTCTGGACACCCTTACTGATTACCATTTATTACAGAACCTTCTTCCACTCCTACGACAATCAGCTGCTAGAGTGAAAGGCGATTTCTCACTGGATCGTGCTGCCATTTTGAACATATCAGCTACTTATGGCTCTATATCTAAGAACACGACGGGATCAGGTCCACTCAAAGGATTGGCCTATATGACCAGCAAGGTAGGTACTCCTACCCCACTCGAAACCCATCCGGTTGATGAATTTACCTGGACGTCGAACTGTTTCAAAGTCAAAGCGACTTTTTACAGTCAGCATTGAATTCCTTGATGAAGACGATGTCCATTGATTTGTCGTCTGACGGCATTCTTGTCGCCAACTTCTGCCCAGGATGGATGCAGACGGATATGGGTGGGCCCAAGGCCCCTTTGACGGTAATTACTTTGTACACTACCGCATAACTACTTTCTCCTTACAATATCTGAACCACTTCTTCATAGAAATGTTATTTCCTATACAGGTTGATCAGTCAGCAGCTGAACTGGTGTCGTCCTTTGCGAAGTTGAACAAAAAACATCATGGTGGATTCTTCAGCCGTTCCCTCCAGGCTATACCTTACTGAGTATATATGTAAATGTAAATAATAAATATAGAGTAAGTATAAGTTAATTATTATTTTATCAATGTATTATTCTTATGTATTATGAATCATATCCCTGGGTCAATCTTGGATTAAGAAAATGGGATAGTTGTCCGCTCTCCGCGGATTGCGTGTTATAGTAGCTTACACGATTTCAATGCACAAGAAACGATCTTTGCAAGTATACGGTTTTCCAGAAAAAGGATAAGCCATTGGTTAGGTAATGGGTAAGCCGATGATGGTGAACCTAGGTAATAAGTAGAGTGTGCTGGGTTATCCAGACATCCCCTTGGCGCGTTTGTGGAGGGAATGAATGGACAGCAGTAAATATGGGTGGCTGTACTTTTCCCCGAATTCCTACGGTGAGTGGCTGTTCTCGGCGGTTACCTTATCCTATCATTGGGAATTCATACTTTCCAATTCGTAGCGAGTGACCGAGCGTGTTCGGGTGCGGCGACGCGACGCGATTTTCGGGAAGAAGGTATCGCACCCCAGTGGATATTGATTGATGGGTGACATGGGGCATTTCTGGTTTGAGCTGTTACACTGGCATAATCCTTTTTCCCTTACTCTTCCTCCCTTGTACTCAGGTCCCCTGAGTCAACGGACACTTGTTAGTTCTACGAATGGGTCAAATTTTGCTGTGTCTTAGTGGACCAGTAAAGCGAGGGGCCCTTCTGCGACGGTATTCTGATTTCTGATCATGAAAGTCAACCTCGACCTAACGAACTGAAGAATATTTTTATTTAAATCGAGGTTTTGCGCAATATGGGCAAATAATGAACCGGCCAGCTATTTGCAGATGTCACCTGGTGGTGGGCAGACCGCTGACAGATTTACAGTTCGGGATCTACTCGGCTTAGCTGACATCGGTTTCCACCCACGGTTTTGTGGCGCTCGGCAATGGATGATAGTTTGAGGTATGTCATGCTACTCTATTCCTTGAGGTCCTTTACTTCCAACACAACGTACTTGTTGAGCACATAAATTTTGTTGACGCTATCAAAGTATTACCTTTAAAAGCGACACGCCTCTTCTGCCGTTTTCCCATGCTCATTCCACTTTGCTTACTGAATTTTCTGAATCAAAGTGGAATGCGTGGCGCACCCCCAGACGGGATTGATCAACGCCAAAAGTCTTGCAGCTAAGGACTCTTGACAGCCGTAGAATCCACTAAAACTGTTTAAGATGCTAGTTTGTTTTCCCAAACCTTCCTAGTTTTTATCAAAACACGAGGGAGTCGCGTTCAATCTCGACTTCGGGTCTCATAACAACAAATGAGGCTGTTGGATGCCTTTACTTTGTGGACATTGAGTGCTATACCGAAAGTAGAAAAGGAAAACATTTGTTACGTCTTTGAAGTCTGTCCCGGTAGGAAAGATCAAAGCTTCTACAGTTGGGATTGTAAAAAATTGGACCCGCTCTCCTAATTGATATAAGAGTTGGTTTATGAGAACGGAGCTGCGGTTTTGACTTGCGGTTTGGGATGGGTTTTTGATACGGCCTTCTTGAAAAATGGCTCCAAAACTCGAACAACAAAGCCGTGACGAGGCAACTAGCTAAGATTACCGCGTTCTGTTGTTGATTGAGACTGTCACAATAAGTTATCTTTCCAATTTCGTCATGGAGACTCAGGCAAGTTCTCTTTTGATGTTTTTTTCAGTTACGTTAGTGAAGCACCTCGAGATGATGCTGGTGTCCTTTTGGTAATTATAATGTGTATATTATTTTGCTTCGCCATTCGCCATGCCAATGATTTCTATACAGGCGATACGGTAGGTTTGAGCTTCCGATAACATCTTCTGTGCTTGCTTTTCCCTCTACCTTAGACAGGTATTGAACGGCGGATACATTAAGGTTACACTAGTAGAGGAAGGAGTATGGAGTGGACGCTTCCGTCATAGGGAAGACAAACGTCTTCTATCGAACATCGAAGCTGACTTCGACAATATGTACAAGAAGCTGAAGGATCGAGCCACAAAACCACCACAAAGAGAACGTATCAGTTATCTGTGACGGCGGCTTGCAGTTGTGACCTATCTTCACTGTATGATCCTGTGGAGGACAGAACCTGGTAGTATATAATTAACTGCGTATTACCCAATAGATATCACTTTAGAAAATACACGAATACCAAACAGAACTACACAACGCCTCAGTAGAGAACCTCATTGGAGCGAAAAACGAAAATGGTACAATTGAAGTGCTCAATCGTAAAACTGTAAACTACTCTACTGTCATTGTGTTCATAAGACGCTTACTACTGACCACCATTTCATAAAGATTTTTAGTGAAATGAAAATCGCATAAGTTATTTGAAATTCGGAATGTTTTATAGTAAGGCTGATCATGTTTAAGGATGAGACAATGAGAACAATATAAAACAAAGAATGTGATGGTCCAAAGATGTCCGAGTGGTGTAGGAGTTGCCCGCGTAGGTTTGAACCCTGCTCGCTGCGATAGTTTTGCAGACA